TGTGTGAGTGAGTGAGAGTGAGAGTGAGAGGGGGAGAGAGAGAGAGAGAGAGAGAGAGAAAGAAAGAGAGAGAGAGAATGGTTATAAGAGAAAAGGGAAAAGTAGCGCGATATAGAATTAAATACAGACAGAGAAAAGAACAAGAGAGGGATGAGACAGAATGAGGGAGAATAGAGAAATGCAGAGATGGAATGAAGCAAAAAGGTAATAGGGACAGAAAAGCGAGAAGAATGAAAAAGAAATGAAAAGAGAGAAGATATAAAACAGAAGGAGGAGGAGAGTGAAAATGTATGAATAGATGAGCAGTGTGTCCACAAATCTTTCATACATAAAACAAAACAGAATTTTTTGAGAGAAGAGTTTATTCTCAAAATGAGAGATAATAAATACAGTTAATGATTAACTGCGCTCATGTTTTGTCTGAACTTTGTTTGGCATTTTAAAATTCCTCTCACATATCATCAGAGCAACTTTACAGTGAAAAGAGCAACAAAGCTTTAAATACCAAATCAAAGGACTGTAAATGAAGACACTTTAATATAAATCTTTATTTACTCCAAACAATCAAGATAACACATATAATCATTGGCCAATGTGTGATCTACTCATTTTAACTCCTTGTTTATAAAAATGTGCTGAGTGAAGGAAGGATAATCAAAGGTAGGATAAAATGAGCACTTGGCACAATAAACAGGTTAGATGAAAAGCTGCAGTTGACAAGCATTGACTCAAACCTCCAACATGCCATCAAGATAAGTAACACCTTTACTGTGCTGCTAGTGTTGTGTAGAAAAGCACTCCTGTCGGTCCTGCATCAAAGGCTCTAATCATGCTTTCTCACAGTACACTGATGCAGTTCACCCAACTGTGTTCATTAATTGATGATCAATTAATCATTCACATCCCTAACGGCACTTTGAGTATGCGCAGTTATATCTCATACTGTTGACATCCAATGCTCAATCAGTAATAAGATTCCTCAGTCACTGAGCTTTAGCCTTTCTTAAACTGCTAACTTTTCAATAGTGGACAACCCTAATATGGTATTTACAAGTGTTCCTGTACATTTTAATTAAAAACACTAAATGTATTTGAAATATATTTAAATAAAATATTTACAACTTCTGTGTCTGAGTCACATGACATGATTTAAATGGTTTCCTATTCTGAATATTTAAATGAAGTAGAGGAACATTTAGATAGACATCTGCATCAGTAGAAGAGGCTTTACTCAAAAAGATTTGACATAAATCATGTAACAAGTTGTTTAAACTTGTATTCAGTCTACAATACTTATTTTTGCAGTGTAGTCATAACCCACCTGCAGGTTAAAATGTCTCCATGGTCTCTTCAACCAAACCTTACATTTAGCTCATACTCACAAACAGCAGCCACTCAATCACTATAGATATTCAGACACACACACACACACACACACACACACACACCCATCACTCTATAACCATATGCACTTAATACACACTTCATTTCTGACCCCTCTTCACCTCTGTATCCTGACTGCTTGCTATTCTCCGGAGAAACTCCTCTGAGTGAGGAGAAATGTTTATTCAAATTCACTACTGAGGATGCATCCGAAAAAATATCTCCATTTTATTGCTGATGCACTTCATTTTTCTTAATGGGAAAGAGAACTAGTGAGCAGGAGAGAGAGAGAGAGAAAGTTTTTTTTTTTTTTCCATTCCACCCAGGCCAGCACTTTTCCCCTGTACTCTTTCCAGCGTTTGAGTGTGTGGCTCTGTGCACGTGGGATTTGTGCATTGTGTCTGTGTGTGTGTTGATTCCAAGCAGCCTCTCTTCCCCCTCCCTCTTCCCCCTTGCGCGTTCTCGCTCTATCACCATATTTTTCCTTGGCAAATCAATTTTACACATGATCAGCCCACTCCCCTTGCCGCGCTCGGCCCAGCCGTAATTAAGAGGAGGGAAATTACCATATATATTATATTAATGCAAACATCATTCAGCAGGTAATTCTTGGCTGATCGGGATAATGGAAAGGTTGAACACCCATTAACCCTGGGGCCCAGGCACTGGGAGGAGGTGGGTGTGTGTGTGTATGTGTGTGCGCATGGGACTGGGGTGGAGGGTGCAGGGTCGAGGGTAGGAGAGGGCTGCTTGGGAAGAGAGATTCACCCCGTGGTCTCCAGTGGCACACACTCACTCACACACACACTCATTGAAATAATAGCATTCTTATAGACACTCTTTGTACGCACAATTTCAAACACAGGGTAAGAGAAGAGGGCGAGTGTGTGTGTGTGTACACTTGAAGGACACGGAGTCACAGTTTCTTTGCAGACACACTCGCACACCTCTAAATGGCAGAGCAGCTGATATCTAACATTGCTATAATTAAAATGGGTGTCTGTTAGATCAATACTTGGACATCTTTGTGCAGAAGAGAGGACAGTAGAGAGAGGGAAAGTGAGAGGCAGAGAGGTGGACAAGGTGGAGAGGAGGGAAACTTAAGTATAGAGGGAGCAGAAAGAAGAGCTCAGTGATAGATTTATCTAAGACAAGACAGGAGAGAAAGAAAGAAAGCTGACTAACAGAAAAAAAAAAGGCCAAGTAGAAGTAATTAAGGGATACAACCTTCGACCTCACTGTCAATCCCTTACTCCCCTATTTTGCCTTGCCAAGCTCACCTTAAACGCTTTATAAAGTTAAAGCTGCAGGCAAAATAAACGAACTTGGTGACCATGGCTGAGCAAGAGTTATTACTGGGGCCTATCACAGTACTAACTCTACAGGCAGCTGGATTTTTAATTGCTTTTAGTTGTTGCAGAAAAATGACAAACCTCCTCTTCAAATGGTCTGCGAATATCAAGCTCCGTCGGTGAACCTCTATCCTCCTCAGCCCTCCTCAGATCCTCAGGAACAGACTTTTGTCTCTTCACCTCTGGAGGGATGAAGGACAGGGAGTGTGAAAGGGAAGTAGATGCATTCACAGTGAGATAAACATAGGAGTTGAGAGATTTATTTTGGTTGTGTTATGTGTCTATCATAAGGTTTAACATGCTTATAGTGCCAGGTGGTTAGCAGACTCCTAAGACTTAGAGTCCTAAGTGCTCTTCTATAACAAAAATAAATTGTTATCATAAGACTTATTGCTAGTTTTATTGTTGTTGTTAAAGTTGCTGCTATTGCTATTGTGACTATTAGTGAGAAAGCCTGTCAAACAAGCAATGATGTCCTCATCTTAAGTGTCAGCTTTCAATTCTTTTAGTGAGTTAACTGAGGAATAACTTCGATTTTTCCACATAAAACATACTTTCTTTATGGATGTACAGGGTTCTTTGCTGATTGGGGATTTATTCAGCAGGTATAAATGGTTTGCATGTTTGGCTTGAAATCTTGAAACGTGTTAGGAACTGCGGAAATGTTATGTTTTTGTATTTGTGGCGGCTGATATCTTGGAGTTGAATTCTTGATTCAACTGGTAAGAAGAAAACAGGATCAGAGAAAAGTCAGGTAAGTGTTTGTTTGTGTTGCAGTGTCCCCCACCTGGCCTGCTCTCCACATACTGGCTGAAGGACTTCAGCTGCGTTTTCCTGACTGCAGAATCCTTGTTGAAGACCACTGGGCTACGTAACCTTTCTGTCGCTCTGCGCAGCCGTTCTGCTCGCAACTCCTCAGCGTTATTCTGTCGAAAAAACAGAAAATTTGTATTCAGCTTGGATGGGTATTGCTTACTGGTGATGTTATGTGTCACATGAATTGAATAGAGTGCATTGAACAGTGGGTGAAAGCAGCTGATGAACACATGCAACTTCAAGAGGTGCACAGAGAGTTCAACTCCAAACAATATCTGTTGTTAAAGAAAAGTTAAAAGAAAACTAACACACTCCACACTCATATGGAGTAGTTGATTAAACTTCAAATTATTGACTTTAAAACAAATTCTGTGA